TATATAGTAAATAAGTTATAATTTGCACCAGAAATTACTAGTTATTATTTAGTTAATAATTGATTTTTTTACCAGTGTAACTCGACAAATATTCAATGAAAAACTCACCCCCCTATGAATAACATTAAATCCAAGAGAATGACGAACGGGGTATGGATAAGGTGTTTGAGATCGTTACTGATGCGGAAAAGTGGTACTTTATGGCATGTACGCTTGATGAGAAGGGAAAACCGTCGTTTAGGCTATCGAAGCCAATTTCTGGGCTATCGAAGCCAATTTCTGTCCCCTATAATAACAATGGGATATGCGAATTAATGCAGAAAAGTTTCTCGGACATATTGTATGGCTGTTGAAAGAGGCACAGAGGCCAGTGGAAGCCTCACTGAATGGAGAACAACCATTGGGTACTAAAAAAGCATAAGTCAACAAGTAACCTCATAAACACAGAATTAGTTGGGGAACTTACCCTACTTTTGGTAATAACATGTATCATTTTCGAGTACGTCTCGATACTTTGTAATTTATTTGTATTATTATTTTTATATGCCATTCGTGCTATACATAATAAAGCATGTCTTTAGTCAAATTTTTCGGGTGCTTGTGTCGTTGAGGTATTGCAATGGTAGAACATACTAATCCATCTTGTTTTTGAAAGAGTTTGGTATGACAGAGAAGATCGTTATCAGCGAGACGGGCAAATCAAATACTATTTCTCGATCGGTCTTAAGTTTCACAAAACAAATTAATGATGCGCTATATTATAAATATTTCTAACGCGCAATAACAGAATGTATAAATTTGGATTATAATGAGAATATATAAACATTAAATGGTTTGTTTTCATTCCTAAGTTAAAGCAGAACAAATGTAGTACGCATTTACAATAATTGAACAACAATAGAGCTGGCGCTAGTAGCTTGATTTCGCATACATAATTAGTTTACTTTTGCATGTTTTTAGAAATTTATTTCAATTTCGCATACATAACCATGTTTACTTTAGCATGTTATTTCGTGAATTATTTTATTGCATTGTAATCGCCATATATTAATCTGTATGTAAAATATTCCAATCTATAAAGCGCCAATTTTGGTGCTTACATAATCAATTTTGATTGGCTAATTTTGGATAAATGATTCTGATTGGTTAATTAAATTAATATACCTGATTGGTTAGGGTCAGGTGAATAGCCAATGAGAGCTTTAGATTTCATGATCATCCGAATTTCACGATCACCTGCCAATTTTTTAAACTACAGAATTATAAACTTTACCTTCTTTTATATATATCTGATATAACTTCTTTAAACAAAAAAATAAAAAAAATTCTCTTATCGAAATGTAGCTGAAAATCTATCATTTTGTCGAGGGTTTTTTGATTTAACTCGTTTTAAAAAAGTTATAACAATTTAAGATTTTTATTAATAAAGAGTGATGTGTTTTACCGTCTAGTACCGTACTCAATTATATATACTGATAGCATTACTATTACCATCACGCCCAGTATTATTTAATTATGTGAAGTTTATTGTTGGGAATAAACTACTATTATTTTTATTATAAATAAAATACATATGAATAATTTATTTATCATTGCATACATTATATATAAAGTAGATTACTACAGTATGATAATTATATGAAAAATATTAAATTTTACGTTCTGGACTTAGTACGGTCTATTCTAGATATATATAATGAACTCAAATTTTATACATCACATTAATTCTGCTATGGGGCTCTTAAAAGAACAGTAGTTTTTTATAATAAGTCTTTTTTATTCCAGAACTATCAGCTCTTTATAACAGATAAAGAGCACTTTGTCTAAAATGCAGTATACAGTATATACAGTAGCATATTAATATAAAAATATTTTCATAAATTCTGGGACAACGTTTGAACGTTGGCAGCTTATTGACTCTGACTTGGTAACATCTATTCGCTCATCAAAATTTTTTCAGCTAATCAAGATTTATGAAAACAGCTGTAAGTCATCTTGTTATAAAATTCGTTATGCAGTAGCTAAGGTTAATATTGTGAGAGGCGAGAATATATTTCGGTTTCGGATCGGCTTCGGATCTTGATGGCCCGGTTCCGGGTTTAAGTCTAGACCCGACCCTATTTTTCAGTTCGAGCCCGGTTTTGCACAAAACCCGGACCGAATCGGACCGTGAGGAACACAGTAATTAAAACTTTAGAGATTACGATAAGTCTCCGTAACGAACCATGGGTATAATAAACCATAAACTATATTACTTCGGTATATATGCGGAAAGCTTAAGAAAAACATGTCGATTCTTTTTGTTGTCTGCTGTATAAGTAATTTGATTGGCTGATGTTACATATTTTATAAGTAACCAATCATGAAGTTCATTGATCAACAAATCTGGTAACATTTTTTAAACCTTTTATCATTAATGTTTCGTTTTGAATTTTCGGTAAGACACAAATGTTTTAAGGTTTTTCGTAAAATTAACTGTGAAAAAATTTTTAAATATTACATATTTTTTGATGGATGTATTCAGCGTATACAATACACATAACATGCATAACATACATTAAAATACTTTTGAAATTTATAGTCAACTGACCTCGATTTATCTGAGGAAATAGTGCCATGTGTTGAAGCTCATGTGCAGGAGAATAACGTTAGTCAACTTTCGCATTTTAATGATAATGATTTGACTTTGGATGAAAATTCGTATATTCCAGCAAGTGAATTAGTCATTACAAGTCTGGTGGGGTTTCTTTCTTTATAATATTGTATATAGAGGTTCGAAAAATTTTCATTAATAGATTAATCGATTAATCATTTAATTAATTATATTATAATTTGTATTATTTAATATATGGGAACTTTACTAACAAAATGACATTTTGGGACTGTGTAATTCATAGTCTCGATGGGTCATTTGTTAGCAAAGATCACAATATTATTTAAGTCGATCGATTAATCTATTAATCGATCCTAACCTCTATTATAATAAACATTACAACACATTAGTTAATAGAGTTATAAACCTGTTAGCCCTTTGTGCTTCCATCAAGATTAGTGATTGAACATGTTTTTAAATCCATAATGGATGATAAAGAACCTATTGTTCTTTATCGACGATGTCTTTCTGATGTAAAATTTCAAATAGCACAAAATGATGAATTAGAAGGTGAAGTTAATAAGAATTCACATAGTTCAGCAAAAATTCTAGAATTGACCGTTGATATTGATGTGGTACATGGAATTTATGAAGGTGATTAATTATAAATTTAATTTGATCTGAATAAAATAATATTATTTCTATTAAACTCTATGAACTTTATAGGCGGATTAAAAACATGGGAATGCTCATTAGATCTAGTTGAATATCTTTCAATCAAATCAAAAGAAATTAATTTCAGTGGTAAAAAAATACTAGAGGTATATGTGGATGATCCTATACGTGTATGTTATTATCCACGAAGTGGGCAATATCCCCGGTTCTTATTATATTTCTATACTCTTTATTCGAGTTAAAGTAACTATTTCATAAAGTTTAACTTACTACAATCACAAGGTTTTTTCATTTTCTTTCTTTTTTATTTGGCCACCAACTTTTACATTTTAAAAAATTCATTATATCACTAAAAAAAAAAAAATGAAAAAATGGAATATTAAAAAAGATATATGATACAGTCTACCTCGTTTATATCAACCCATTTGAATTGGTTTAAATTCATATTGATAGTGATATTAACAAGTGATTATATTAAAGTTGATATATATGAGAGAATTTAATATATAAAATTCATCTTATTGTTTAGGTTGATATTAACAAGGGTAGACTGTATAATCAAAAAGAAATATAAAGATGAGATTTGAGCAATAATGAGAATAAATAGTATACAAGCATAAATAAGAACCGGGGAATGAATGAATTTATCTCTCAGCACTTCTTAATATATTTAAATTGATTTATATAAAAAGTTGGGATGTGGTTCAGCTCTTCCGGGAATATATTTACTTTCTACTCAGCATTCTATTTGCGTTGATTTCCAAGATTATAATGAACATGTTTTAAAATTAGTCACAATGCCGAATATACTTATCAATACAGTTCTACGACCACAAACAGATGACATTTCAGAAATAGATATTGTAGAAGAAATCAATTGTTTGAATCAATTAAAAAATAGCAAATTTTTTAAGGGAGATTGGAATGGATTAACTGTAAATAAAATTATAATTAATTAAAATTTAATGTACTTGATCACATTTAAATATTTATTTATCACTATAGGATTTATTGAATTTACATTCAAATCAAGAAAAGTATGATATAATACTTTCATCAGAGACAATTTACAACCTTAACTCTATTCCAAAACTTTATAATGTTATTAAACATGCTCTGAAGTATCCGAATGGCGTCGCGTATCCTTTGTATTACTTTTTATTATTTTTTTTGTATTAATTTTTTCAAGTTTAAAAAGCATGTAATTCATCCTGATCTTTTTTTTAATATAGTTACATTGCTGCAAAAACTATTTATTTTGGTGTTGGTGGTGGGATACTATCATTTTGTCAATTAATTGAGCAAGATCATGTTTTTGAAGTTAATGTAGTCTATACAAAAACTGCACATGTCAGAAGAGAAATTTTAAAACTTTCATTTTTATAATATCCAAAAACTTTTTTAATCATTGTCACGGCTGAAGCTGGAAATTTTAAATATTTTAATATGAACTTTCCAAAAATTTTTGGAGTGCATTTTTTAGCTTTGTTTAATAGTTGTGTTAGGGCTTAGGGTTGGTTTTTTAATAAAAGAATATAAGTGGGTTTTGGTAGGGTTTATATTTTTAAATCGAAGTCCCTATTTCTCAGCTTCAGCTGACAATCATTTTCTTCACACGCGCAATCAAGCTAACTAGAGTTTTTTGATTTGTACTCTGGGTACTGAATACAATACTCTACGACAATAAAGAGAGGTTTTTATGTAATATGCTTTTGGAAAGATAATTATTTAAAGTGTTGACTGTACATAACTGATAAAAATTTTCTTGATAAGCATATTTATTTTAAAATCAATACAGTGTGGGATATCTCGAATGGTGCAAAGATCATTTGATTCTGATCACTGGACTAACAAGATATCATAAATCTATCATCGATCACGTGTTGCAAAAAAATTTCTGACGAAATACAAAGTTGGCCATAAGGTAATTACCCTTTGATACCATGCCAAGCAAAGTTGTTCACGACATTAAATTGCACATATCCTGCAATTTTTATTGGGCAACTAATTGCATTTACGTAATACGTTTCTATGAAAACTTTAAATTTTTTTCGAAAAAAAATGTATTTCGTAAAAGTCAAATAGTAAAATGTTCAAATTTCATGAAAAATTCTATTATATGTGTAAATTGATGTCGCGAGCAACTTTATTTAGAGCTCAAAGATCAGTTTGCATAGTATTTCAAAATCCTTTCTTTATGGTTAATTTTGTATTCCGTCAGAATTTAAACTTTTTTTTTGTGCAATGTTATTTCGAGATCCAGTAACAGAAACGAATGGCCTTTGTACATCTCATCAAGATGAATCTAATGATTCTGACAGTCGGGAATACAGGATAACTCAATTCGTCATCCTACCCCTTAAAAGTTTATATTTGTATGATACATATATGGGCTTGTGCTGAGAAAAAAACAAGAAATTTTTTCACAAAAAATCATTAATTTGAATTATATGGTTTTGATATTGTCTCAAAAGAGGAATCGAATGATACTAAAATCTGTAATTCTGATTAATAGTTCACAAGATAAATGATTTTTTGTGAAGAAATTTTTTTGTCAATTTTCAGCACCAAACCCATACGTATAAACCCGATTAGTTTCAAATAAACAAATTTTTTTTTATATTAATCATTTTATTTTGAAATCTAATTGTATATACAGTATATATTTCTTATACGTACGTATAAGATTAATAAATTCAAAAAAACAAAATTACTTGGAAACAAAAATTTTTAACCAATTAACGTTAATAAATTTAGAATTCGATGTTCAGTTTAGTAAAAAAATTATAATCGAAAATTCTATACTACGTTTGCGCGACTGAAATTGCAACATAGACTATATCAGATATTTATTGATTGTACGTATTAAATTATGAACGTATATTGTTTTTATATAACTGATAATTATAATTGTACGTATATAAATTTATATAACTGATAAGAATACATATTGTAATAATGACGAATAAAATAGCCCTAATTATTACTATTATTACTGTTATATAAAAAATATATAAATAATAAATAAATAAATAAAAAATATATATATATATATATATATATATATATATATATATATATATATATATATATATTATATCCGTATTGTATTATAATAAGTAGAGATCTTGATCAACCTATCATATATACTTTGCAATGGATGAGCGTATCTTTAAAATCTCGTTTGTAAAATGTGGGGTTACGTCAAGAACGTTAACAGTTAATGTCTGAGATTTACTTTGGATTTTCAGAAAATTTGTTAGTCAGAATGAATCATTATTTATGAGAATTTATTTATAAATGATCGTTATCTTGAATATGTAAAGATTTGAATCAGCTTAGTCTTTTTCGGTTTCATTCTAGTAAATCTGTATGACTAAATGTAGATTCGAAAAATTTAGAAATTCTTTTACGTACGCACGTAACGTATCTGGTACGTATGTACATCGATTCATTCGGCATCCAGAATTCA